GGTGGTGGTGGGGGGACCTCCTGTGTAGGAATTTGGAGACAAGAAGAAGTGGGGACAGTGAGGACCCTAGTTCTATCCTGAGGCTAACTGCTCCCGCTCTAAGATTGAAAGACCACATGAGAGGGAGGGGGTATCACAGTAGCCCCTCAAGACTTAGCGTACCACACAGTGTTGTATTACAGGGTAGGGTATGGAGTAGCAGGGTAGGAGACCCATTGGCCAAATGCTGTTTCCACTTGAAGCGTGGCTAGTTTATAAACTTTTTTCTTTATCCTCCAGTTCTCTTAAATCTTCTCTGTTACATGATTTCTTTGATGAAAAGCATGGAAATTGAATCGTGCCTTTGGCCTGCCCAGGTAGAGACACTGAATTCTAAACTTTCCCTCAAATTGTAAGCTTGCATGTATACTATCTCTTCGTCCCTTAAGAGTTTATTCAAATGGGCTGTCAATCACCTGGATAGAAAATTGCCTCTCAGGAAACTGTATCCAGAAACTTTAAGAAATAGTATAAAATTAAATAAAAACTTGGCTCTGGCCTCTGTGGTCATGAAGCACCCTTCTCCTTGAGAGTTCATCTCTTTCTTCTGTAATAAACACTCAAAGGAAAGCAAATGGGCAGGGGCAGGGAGAGGGAAGAGGCGGAGTGAGTGGAGTAAGATCTTGGTAACATTCTGTGACCCCTTTGGCAGAGGATTGGTTTTCAGCTGAATACTAGTGGATACATTGGTCACCTGAGAGAGCTTCCTGGATCCTGCTGTGTCTCTTAGATACACTGTGGTCAATGTGTTTATTACTTTGTGGATAACAGCCTTCGCGCACAGAGGTTCAAAAGCGTGTAGCCGGGCTGTGTTAGCCAGGATGCTCAAAAGTAAGAAAGGCCTTGTTACGGTTTGGCGTGTCAAGTGTCTTCTACAGACTTCTGGATTGGCATTCTTGGTCTCCAGATGGTGGGGCTAAAAAATTATAGGATCTTTAGGAGCCGAGGAATTGGGCACCTAGAGCAAGTGAGTGAGCGTGTGTGTGTGTGTGTGTGTGTGTGTGTGTGTGTGTGTGAGAGAGAGAGAGAGAGAGAGAGAGAGAGAGAGAGAGACATACACCCTGAGAGGAGGGGAGTCTCTGGTCTGATATTTCTGCCTTCTAGTCCTCTTAGATGTGAGGGGTCCCAAACGCACACCCCCAGAGCTGTGAACTCTACCAAGCATTCCCTGCTGTGATGAAATTTAATTCATGAGTCAAAACAAACCCTTCTTCCTATAAATAAATAAATAAATAAATAAATAAATAAATAATTGACAGGAGCCAATGGGAGGGGAAGCACGAGCTGCCTTGCATGGGGACCTTCCGTGTTCATAGCATAACTACCCTCTGCACAGGTATATCTAGTAATGGGTACCATTTATTTAAAGTGATCTGTCCTGTCACTGTCCTCCTCTCGGGAGGCTCCGAGGCAATCCCCAGCTGTGTTTTGGAGGGGGAAGGTGGTGAGAAGATGAGGGTTCTGTATTTAGCCATTCGGTCTGCTGTAGTTGGTAATGATCCTATACTCTAGAGGCACAGCCAGGTCAAACCTCAGATTTGGGGTTGTTTTAGTTGGAGGAATGCAGAGTACACTGAGGTGACTCTGATTTCAGAGAGTCTTTAGCAACGCCTGTGACAGGAGTAGGGAGATCTTGTTTTGATTTCCTCCGCTTTCCCGCTCTGTGGTTCTGGGAGTAAGTGGAGGTCGGGACCAATTTGAATTTGGGTGGAAAATAGAGAGGATGAAAGTGATGTAATAGACGAAGTCGTTAAATCTCACTCTCCAGCAGAGGGATATTTAGTCTCTCTCTAACATAAGAATAGTTAGTAGAGGATGTGCAGACCTCACGCCAGCCACTACAGCCACTAAGGTCAATCAGAAAGGTCCAGATGATAGCAGCCCTGTGAGAAAGGAGTGGATGTCCCTTGGAAACCATTGCTCTGTCCATTTCTTATGGTGGATGAAAGAACTGTTCTGTAGGGATAAGCCCTCCCCTTGGGGGCGGGCTGCCCTCAGGCGTATGTTTTACTGATATATTGTGCTGCGCGCCCCTTCCGCGCTCTCCTGTTTTCCGCTGGCTACTCCGCTGGAACCTTGGTTTCGTGAGTCTGGTCTTGTTATTAAACTTGTTTAAATATCAATTACTGGTGAATTATTAATCCGACCGCTGCACTGTTCATGTCATATACAGTGTGGGTAAGGTTGAGTCCTTTTTAGCTGTGGTTTAAGAAATACATTGAAAAAGGAATGATTAAACCCCCTGAACATAAGATGTAACATTCAACTGAATCCTTGCTTTATACTGCTAGGTCTCAGGACTAAATCATAGCAATGCTAATCTGAGGACATACACAATGAGATTGACCTCTCTGTGGAGAAGGCATCTATCCAGCAATTTGTGGTGAATCCAAATTTTTTTTGAGCATTCATTTTCAAAGCTGTCTTCCATATTATCAAAACACTTCTGAATTCAGTGTTTGGCCTTCCAATGTTCCCTTGCCTTGAGAATGATTCCTTGGCTCAGAATCTGAATAGCCTTCAGACCAGCTATGGGCACTTAGCTGCTGTTCTAATCTGAGACCCAAACATCCTGTGAAGTCTGTTGTTAACCCCACGGTGAGATTGGTACTTGGTGCAGACCTGGATAAATGGAGCTGAGTGCCCTTGTGTTAGGATCCAGAAACTTTCAACCATCCTGTGTTGCTAGTACTGGGTACCTCCACCATCATGGTGAATGAATGTGGGTGGTATTTCCCAAGCAGAGACCTCTTTTGCTTTGTCTGGCTGGAGGAGAGAAAGATTTGCTTTGGTGATGAGAGCTAAAAGCCACAGCTTGAGGCTGGTGTGGCCAGAATCTTCATGTATCATCCATGCAGTGCAGCCTCTCAGGTGCTAGATTTACCAGTAAACTGACAAGGTGCACAGCATACAGTGATGATGCTCTATCTGGCAGGATGAGGGTGGTAGAACCCGCATGTGGATAGCTTGGAGAGGAATTTGGTGTCTACGACGATGAATGAGAAAGGATGGCCTCGTTTTCTTCTGGAAAGACATTCTGATCTTGTCGGGCTAGAGAGAGAGTGAAAGCCAGGAGCATTATTTAGATGGTGAGAGGAAGGGGAGGGAAGGGAATAGAGACACTGGTCATTCTGCATTTGAGTGTAGCAGAGGAGGCCTGACAGAGGGCAGAAACACACTATAAATTAGCAAGGTTAAGAGTCTCCGGAAGCCAGGGCGTTAACTCCGTTACTATATGCAGATTCTGGCTCAGTCATCCTAAATGAAGTGTGCTCCTAGGACACTTCAGGGGATAAAGGTCTAGAAATACATCACCATAGAACACACTGAGACTTAAACATTCCATAGTTAATTCTGCAGGTAACAAATGGGTAAGTTTAGATAGAGAATGATGGTCAGAAGAGAAGTCCATGAAGTAAGCATGGTGCTTTGTTATTGTTGATAAGCATGTGTGTATGTGTAGTGTGTGTGTGTGTGTGTGTGTGTGTGCCTTGCTACTTGTTGAGCAGGTTGTGGTAAAAGATCTCATCCTTTAGGAAGGACAGAGACAGTGAATTTTCAGCAGTAGCCTACTGCAGTCCTCTACTGTCTTTGGAATCCATATCTTCACGGCAGTATTTGGGGATGGATAGGTCAGGGGGTGATGTGTCCAAGAACTCAGAATGAAGATGCATCAGCAAGCTCCAGAGGCAGTTCTTGTCCTTTTGTCCCCCGAGAAAGACTTATGGCCATTTTCAACCACTCAACATCCCGAGGCTGAAATGACCTTGGAGTAATTTTCTCCTTAACTCTCCTATCAAAACTAAAGAGCAGGGTGATGATGATGATTGTTTGCTTCGGGGCCCAAGATGGGGCCCCACTGTCACTCAGCCAAGCTCCCCACTCTGCTGGCAATATTTCCTCCTAGTCTGTGTTTTCATGCCCCTCATCCTCCTGTGCCTAAACTGGGAGAGGTGAGTAGCCAGAGGTCAGATCCATGTCCTATGAGTAGGCCATGCTGTAGCGGGGGCTCCATACACACTGCCTGTTGACTCCCCATACTTGAGTAGATTTGTCTCTGCAAAAGAACTCAGCTGGCCTCTGAGAATAAAGCCCCAGTCCACTGCTGTTCCATTATTAATAACTCTTAAATTCAAGCTAAGCAGTGGCTGCTAATGGGGGATGGGAGGGAAAGGAAGAGAATTAAGAAGATGCTTCCCCGACATCAGCCCTCTTAGTAGACGGAGCTGTTTAGGGCTGGAAGCTAGGGCTCCTTACCTCTCCAGAGCTCAGGGCTCCGGCACATGGGGTGCCAGCTGCCTCTGCCCCTTAAACAGAGAACTTGTTGCACCCAGGGGCAAGGAGCCCACAAATAACCGAGCTGCATTTGGGAAGTGGGTCTGATGAGTCTTTTAATAGGAAGAAATCATCATTATTTCCCAAGAGCTCACATTCCCATAACATTTTTATTAGCAGCTTCTCTTCTAAATAAAGTTCAGTGGATTGATTTTGGTGGCGCTTTCTCATTTTGAATATTCCCCTTAAATTATGGCCCTGGATGAGGTCCCATCATCACTGTTATCATTACCAGCGTCAGCAACTCCATTGTGATGTTCATGCTACACTTAGGAAGCACTCAAAACACTGCAGGTATATTACCTCATCTGTCCTTACATCTCCTTAGAAAGAGGACTGCATAACAAGTGCACACAGGACTTCTCTGTTCTGTGTCTCTGTGTATGAAAGCCCTTTGGGTGAGCCAGGAGGGCGTCCACTGTCCCTCTCTTTTGTGTGCTACTCTAGAGCACAGGAGATTGCTTTGGGATCAGTCATAGCCACCCAGAGGTTGGGCATCACAGAGTTCTTGGCTCTGGGTGGGATGGAGGGCAATGATGCGTGTGTGAGTCTATAGAACAGGGACAGGACCCTTGGGAGTCACCTTGACCACCTATGTGTTGACATGAGCTCTTTGGTCCCAACAGGCCAAGCCTACTTTTAAAAGCAACATCATGGGATAATATGCCAGCTTGGAGTCAAGAGATCTGAATTCAAATCCTCATCACCAGGCAGCCACACAAGTTTTAACAAATGAATGTTTGGGGGATGCTTCTTGTTCAAACCTTAACAATTAAGTCCAGTATCCAATACAGAAGAGGCCAGTATGGACAAGGGCACAGGTATGGGACAAATTTTGATTCTGTTTTTTTTTTTTTCATTTAATCTCTCTCTCTCTCCTGATGAGGCTGAAATTATCTGTCCAGTATGTGGAACAGGAAGGATAATAGAAAGCAGCACCCAGACAGCTTTGTCTTGTTGATCTGGATCTGGTCAGATAGTGGGTTTTTTATGCCACTAATGCCTAAAAGTTAGTGACCAATAATTAGTACATTTGGTTCCCTCATCAACAAAATGTCTTCCTTGTAACATATGAAGTCATTACAGGAAATCACACCCCATCACAATGCAGAGAATGAGAAGTGCCCAGTGCTGACTGACAGATCTACAACATGACTCCTACCCCTAAGGCTTGGAAGTTGTAGAGAACAAGGGGGTAGCGAGATGAACAGTAAGAGCCAAATGAATGGGAAGTTTGCTGTGTCTCCTAGAAATCTCAGAGATGCTAGACTCATGAAGTCTTACCAATATGGCTGCCTAAGCAAAAACCCGAACAAGGACATCACCAATAGACATATTATTGTGGAAGGGGAAGCTCATGGGTACCCAACCCTAGACAAAGAACTACAGGCAGCTAAGGATGCTGAGAACAGCAGAAATAGTCTTCCCTCAGGGAAGAGTGTACCAATTGGTTATTAATACAAACGGTCAGTCCTGAATCACATACATATAAATAACATCATATGGACTGCTTGTATTTACATACTTAAGACTATACATATATATGCAGTTGCATATGTATGTATGTGCACACACACACACATATACAATAACTTAAGCAATAGAAGCCATGAAGCAGTGAGAAAGTGTTGTAGTAAGGAGGCTGCTTGTTTGTTCCCGTTCGCTGGGCAGCTCAGACCCAAAATAACCACACAGAAACTCTATAAATTAAATCACTACTTGGCCAATTACTTAAGCATATTGCTAGTTAGCTCTTACATCTAGAATTAAACCATCTCCATTATTTTATATTTTACCACAAGTCTCATGGCCTATTGGCAAAGTTTCAGCATGTCTGTCTCTGGTGGCAGCTCCATGGCTTCTCTTTGACTCCACCATCTTCCTCCCAGCATTCAGTTTAGTCCCCCCCCAGCTCTGTTCTACCCTATCAGGCCAAGCCAGTTTTCTTTATTCGTTAATGGTAATCACAGCATACAGAGGGGAATCCCACATCAAGAGAGCAAGGGGGTGCCTGAGAAGGGAAGAAGGTAGTAAAGGGTGGGGAAAAATGGTGTAATTTTATTTTCATTTGAGGCAACAAAATATTTTTAAATAATTAGTGTAATTGGAAATTTGTACTAGGAACAGTGTTGACCTGGCGAGCAGAAAGCTGGGGTTTGATCTTCCTTTCTGTAGCTAGGCAGACGGTTTCAGAAGCACGTCCATGGCTTGGCCTGCCTGGACCTCAGTGTACTCATCTATAAAAGGAACCCTTCCTTGATTCCATCAGTATCATTCTCATTTTATAATTTTGCAGAGAAATTTTATTTCATTTTATTGTTTTAGCAAAGGCCCAATATTTGCATGAACTTGTTCTCTATGTCTTCTAGGCCCCTAGGCCCTGTGTCATGGAGCGCTCTTTTGAGAGGGTGGGGCTCATGACGAGGAGCCCAGCTGACCTGCAGACACATCAGGAAGTGTCTGTTCTAGAAGGCTACTCAGTGCGTCCTGTCTCTGAAACCCAGTGACTACAGATGACGCAGATTCAGCTCCGATTTATTGGTGGAACCTGGTCCTTCCTCCTTTCCTGTCTCCTCTGTCTGTTTACTTTGAGAAGGATGCCAAAGGCTCCATCAATGACTGGGCTACCCAGTGGCAGCTAGTGTAGAAAGACTTTTCTTGCATGATTCTTGGCTGTATTATTTGGCTTTCTATTACTGTTACCAGTAACTGCGATAATCAGTATGAACCACAGCTTTATTTTGGCTCACGGGTTTGGACCTCTCAGCATGATTGGTTGTCCCTGTTGTAAGGCAGCAAAGATGGCAGGAAACCCATGGTGGCAGAAGCCACTTGCTTCATGGGCTGACTAGAAAACAGAGGAAGAGGAGGGGCCATGGTCCCAACAGACGACTTAGGGACAAGCAGAACTGGAACACATCTCACAGGCTCCATCTTGTACAGTTTCTCCCACCTCCCAATAGTAACACAAGCTTTAGACATATAGAGGTGTGTGTGTTTGTGTGTGTGTGTGTGTGTGTGTGTCCATAGCAACTCCCTATGTTATTTTCCTAGTTTTATAAAACAAAGACATCCACATTGAACTGCTTGGGAAAGGACTTGTTGCCCTGGGTCCTGTGTTGGTGAATGCAGCCCTGCCCTATTTGCTAAGGCTCGAAGCCTAGACCAACAGGGAGAGGACACACAACTAACCAAACAACAAGGCAGCCATGAATGCTTTTATGAAGTCTATAATGGTTTGAAGGAATAATTAATTACACCAGGGAAGAGAAATGTTGTCAGATCTTTTGTTAGGAAGCAGGCAGGTCTTGATTTGGACCTTAAACGATGGAGAGGATTGCAATAAAGACATATTAGAAGAGCCAGACTTGGTGGTATATGCCTGTAATCCCCATACTCTGGGGCTGTCAGAAGCACTGGGAGTTTGAGGTCAGCCAGGGATATATAGCAAAACGACTATCTCCAGTCTCTCAGTCTCTCTCTCTCTCTCTCTCTCTCTCTCTCTCTCTCTCTCTTCCTCCATCTCTCTCGTGTGTGTGTGTGTGTGTGTGTGTGTCTCATAGAGGAAGGCATTTAAAATAGAAGGAATATTTTAAGATGCCTCTGTTTACATTGGAATTCAGGCATCACCAAGAGTCCAGCTCCTCTGACAACTTTCTGGTCTTATTTGAAATGATTTCTTTCTTCTTGGATCAGGAATGTGCAGATTCCAACATCTCCGGCTTAGGTAGGGCAACAGCAGGAGAGAAAAGCAGCTCTCTCCACCAGCCTAGCTGGAAACTTCACATGACTGTCATTCACAAATCAGTTCAGACCTCTCTCTCCTTTGCTGGTTCTTGATTTGAAGGGGAGCTGGAAGGAAGTGACACTTTTCTAACTGCATCCTTGACTTGTGCCTCTGCCAGACATCACTAATTGAACCCTGAGTGCCACCCCTGAGTGGAGGCCGCTGCAGAGAGCATTCAGGCATTCCAGGCAGACCCTGCCAATCACCCAGTTCTAGGACACCTCATAAGTTCTATTTGCTGTTTTCTGTTTGAAGTCTTAAAACTTTACTACTGCCTTAAATACTAAGAAGCGGTTTTATGAAAACCACAATACTGAAAGTGGAGAGTTGTTTTTTTTTATTTTTAAACCATAAGATCTAGTGAGGATGTCAGGATGCCAAAATACAGACAGAAGATGCTGCTGGGGCCTTGAGATCAGCATAGAGATGTTTTCGGTTTCCTCTACTCTCCTGAGTCTTAATTGCATAAATATTTGATGCAGAGACACAGACAATATGTGATAAGATATACTAAACTGGTTCCACGAATAGAGCTAAGTAATAAAGGGTCTGCCTAGCATGCATGAGGCTCTGGGTTTAATCCCCAGTACTCTGTGTGTGTGTATGTGTGTGTGTGTGTGTGTGTGCACACGTGTGCATGTGCTTATACTTAGAAGAATAGCCACTGATTTATAATCATCAATGATTCTCAACTGGCATACATCCAAGACTCTGGCTTGCTTATGGTGCTGATTTCTGGACTTCTTTTTTGTTAAGGATATCTGGTCTTGGAGCCCAGAAGCAGGCATGCTTACCAGACACTCTATTTGATTCTCCTAGAAATATGCCTAGCACCCGGTCTTGAACCTGTTGCCAGACACATAACTATAATATTTAGTTTCTGTTTATCCTTTTTTTTGAGTGGCTGGCACAAAGTACAGCATTCATTTCTCATGGGTGAGTTCCTTTCTGTGATGGATAATATTGATTGTCAGCTCCACAGGACTCAGGATCACCATGGAAACTTGACTCTTGTATTTATGCGGCTGTTTCCAGAAAGGTTTGATTCAGCCTAGAAGACTCATGTTGGATGCGGGTGGCACCATCCCCTAGGGTCAGGTCCTGGGACTGAATAGGAAGGAGACAGAGAGCTTTCATCTCTCCCTGTTTCCTAAATGTGGACGCAGTGTGACCAGCTGCTTCCTGGTCCTGCTGTCATGGTAAACTGTGCTCTTGAACTGTGAGTCTAAAAGAACCCCCCCTTTCTGGAGGTTGCTTTTGTCGGGTGTTTGTCCCAGCATCAAGAAAAGTACTGAGCACTTACATTCCATGACATTGGAAATGAAGCCACTGTCACCAAAAGGACTGGCCTTCCGAAAAGCTTGAGCCACGCTTGCGGAGATCAATGTTTAGAAAGTATCTGAATTACTATGCACCCGTATTGTCATTTCAGAAGAATGGAGACGGACTAGGAGATTTTTCTGGTGATCAAGACAGAAGAATTTGTCTGTATGGTGTATGGCAAGAGCCTTCTTACTGCACTTGTGGTGGACAGCAGAAGGGCCGACAGGGACACACATTCTACCTCACACGACTCAAGGGTGAGAGACTGATGCCATGCTTACAAGACCCGCATGTGGTGGAGTTAGTCTCTCTCCTGATACAATCCCAAGAACCTCACATTCAGCGCCCTCTCCCAGAGCTGACACACTGGACATTAGGATCCCATGCAAGTGTGAGTGGGGGCAAGATTAGAACCATCGCCCTGGATGCTTGATCAATGCGTGAGTGCGCTCACTTCCTGCGAGTTGTAGTCGTAACAATAAGCACTACTCTTACCTATTCGTTCCGTGCCAGGCACTTCGCTATGGCCATCTGCATAATGCTGTCTAGTGCAGTTCTTAGAGCAAGCCTATGAACAAATTATCACCCTTTCCAGGAAAATGCTAAGTAACTTGCTTAACTAGCAAAAGATATGAATGCAAGCCTTGAACCCAAGGTTCTCTGTATTCCAAGTACTTCTTACTTAATTCTGTTTCGAAGACATAT